CTGCAATAATTACTGGTCCTCAACACTCTTATGGCTCAATATTAGTACCTGATAACTGACCTGTTTGAATACCTGCATTGAGCCACCTTCTGAATTAAGTTGGACTTCCAAGTTGTTTATGAGTTGATCCATATCTGGAAAAAATACAAGGGAAAGATAACTTTTAGAACAAGACCTAACCCACTCTGAATATACAGTATGCCACTTATCCTTGGTTACCCCTGTATGTGTTCTGAGAATACACTTTTTCAGGATTTAATAGATACTTAGAAGTCATTAAAACATTTAGATTTATTATACTCATCAAGATAGGCCTGATGTGTCCCCAACATATTAGACTCCCACTTGCCCCCATATTCTGCATACAGGTAATCTGTTTCTTCCAACCTCTCCAACCAGTTCAACTTCATAGGAATATCAGCATAACTACATAATTTCCAGAATCCTCTCCTCCTGATCCAGTTCTTATTCTCCTGAGTTCTAAGCTCCTGTATGGATATTGACTCAATTAAAATATCTATACATTGGGATTAAATATTCTCCAGAGAAGTATTTATCTGTTTACCTCTCTTAAATATACAAACGGGGAGGGGGGCTAATAAAAACTAGTCTTCCCTTTCCTCTTTAGATATCTATCCCTTTTATGAAATGAGAGAGTTGGTAGCCTCATTCAGCTGCCTTGAAACATCACAATTTTTCCTAAAACACCTATCAAGTTCTCTTCTTCAACTAGATTTTCTTTGATCTGTGTATAGTCCAATCTCCCCTGAGAGAAAAACATGGTAAGGAAGCCAAATCCACAACTCACTTATGACTTGATCAGTGAGATATAAGATCACATTAAGTGTTCCCAAGTCAATTACAATTATTTCTCTCGCCTATGACCTGATTACATTTCAAAAGTTCATAAATCTTAATTGTTTTGGATGTCAAATACACAGAAGTATTAATTTTAAAGGTCACATCACAACAGCCATTTAAAACATAATTCAGTTAAATACAACAAATACACAATCAACAAGGATACAAAATTATAATATTGTAACACAAAAATGTAAAGGAGGAACCTGAAAACAATTATTTCATTTGTTGAATGTCAAGAATTGAGAAAATCATCCCTAATTAGAGCAGAAACATACAAGGAAACTTAACATTTTATTTTATTTTTATATTTATTTTTTAGTTTTCAGTGGACACAACATCTTTATTTTTATGTGGTACTGAGGATCGAACCCAGCACCCCGTGCATGCCAGGCGAGCATTCCCAGCCCTGGAAACTTAACATTTTAAAGCACCATATGTCCAATTTTATTTAAAAATTCATGACATCTTTGATGCAGGTATATGAGAACTGTACACATAACCTCCATTCATTCACCAAACATAGATACTGTGTGTCCAAAGCTGTACTAGGAACATTACTATGATTTTGGGCTCTGGGCCAACCAGACATGTGGAGAGCCAGAAAAATGTAGCAGAATCTTGTCCTGGTAGTCTGATGCACAAGAACCATTTCACAATTTTGACAAGGCCTTTTTTTTTTTTTTAAAGATTCAACTCATCTGTTTAGAATGAAAGGATTTTGAACTATTTTCTACATAGCCCCAAGGCTTCTATGGAACTTCTCAGGGGTGATATAATGGAGAAAGAAGTATAGCAAAAAATGAGAAAGAATAAGAACAGTTGAGTCTAGAACTCAGAAAAATTATAATTTCCATAATAATTTGACCTCCTTGCTTTTTCCACTAATATATTCCAAGGACCTAGAACATTGCCTGATGCATGTTAGATGTTCAATAAGTTTATGAATTTTTTGATGATAATGATAGGAAAAAAGGCAAGGAAATATGTTTTCTCAAGCACAGGAATTGGAAAACAGTAGGACAGAATGAAAGAAAATTAGAGAGAGCATATAAGAGAGATGCCTGTTGTATGATTAACTACAAAATAAGAGGTGTCAGAGAGGACAGCAAAGCATTTTCTGATTCCTGGAATGGGAAAATGGAGTGTGATGATAGAAAAACAGTGTTAGGTCAGATAATTCTTATATAGTCTACATTGTTGGAGGGAAACAAAAAAGCTGGAACTTGCTTTGTTGTTACCAGGAAAATTTATAGGAGAATGTGGAGAGAATTCAGTTGTCCCCCTGAAGTCACAACACCTTGACTAAGCCTCATTTTTCTAGCCAGGACAATTTACAAGAGCCACGTTCTATCTGGTTTTCTTTAATTCCTATGGATTAAGAGAAAACAGGACTGAGGAAGAAGAATGACATTGAAAAACTATTTAGCCTCAATAAAGCTCATTTTCTTTACCTGCCAAGAATGGGGAAAAATCATATTGCCTTTAAGTACGTATAACTGCACTCAAAACAATTCTTGGCATATAAAAAATTCCTTATTAACCACTCTCATCACCATCACTACAACCATTACTATCATTATTGTTTATTTTGGTGCTGGGGATTGAACTCAGGGCCTTGTGCATGCTAGGCAAGCACTCTGCTCCTGAATTTACAATCTCCAGTCCTCATTATTACTGATGGTCAGAATCTTGAGCTATGGCTCAGAATATCTCCTAAGTATCCAACAGGTCCTTTATACTCAATAAGCTCACAAAATGCTCATTTATTTTTACATATTTTATTTCTAGCATCATCATCAAGCTAATCTATCAAGCTAAAAATCTGAGGGTCACTCAACTTTGACACTTCTCTCTCTCTCTCTCTCTCTCTCTCTCTCTCTCTCTC